TATTTGTAATAAGTCTTGTGGCTGTTCTAAAGTACAAAAATATATACCAGGATCTTTCAATGTCAATAGGTGAGGTGATCTTGAATAAGAATGTTGTCTTTATTAGATAGTATTATGTAAGAACGTAGTAATTCCAGCATGGTTCACAATTTGAATAGTCTTATTAAGAAATCGTAGAAAATTTCAACTCTTCTCTTTAATTGTCTGTTCAATTCTAGAAAAAAACCTTTTGTGACAATGGGTCATTCTAAGGACAGTGTTTGCAACTCTGACAGAGTCGACCAATTTACTTTAACACCGTAGGATGCTCGATGTGCAGTCAGAAGGTTCACATACATTCATATTTAGTGTATAGTGTTGAGGAAGTCCATTAGTGTCTACTTAACTGATTTCTCTGGACGCCCACAACAAGGAAAAATGACTTTCGAAACAATCCCTTCTCCACTGCACCTGAAAATAAAACTTTCATGACTTTGACGTTTTTCATCGTTCGTGGATCCGTGCAGTGGTTTCAACTAAATGTTTAATATCAACAAATAAATCAGTTCTTTCGAGAAATAGTCTATTACTTCAGTTCTACGAAGGCATACAATGTAAAACTCATAAAGCTCTTGAGGATATCGATGTGGGTGTGAGATTGATTAATATTTCAATATTTTCATAGTTATATGACGCTTGTATTTGGTAAAATCTTGACAGCAGAGTAGAATCTGTTTTAATATTTTGTAATGACATCATGAATTGAAAACTACTACCTATTGGACTTTTATGAGAGTCAGTTAGAAAGAGTTCAGAATAATGAGCTCAAAATTTTGAGGCGAAAAAACGTTAGTTTAGACCAAAACTAACATCTAATACCTGGCTAATATTTTTTTTGAGCATAATTTTATTCAGCATGATCCAAGACTATCATCCTACGATGAGAAAGTGTTAACTCACTATTCAGAGCTGAGATTTTAACAAAGGCTGAAAATTTATTAGCTGGAGATTGCCAGGCTCTTATCTTTTGATCACTAAAACTATGGAAATTGTTAAAAATGAGTGAAATAGGCCAGCTTTAGTGTCCAAAAGAAAATCAATAAAAAATCAGTGAAAAACGGTTGGCTTTAAAATTTCAACCATGCCGGACTCGTAACTGGCCAGTTTGGTTTCAAGTATGACTCAGGTATTGTACAGAATATTGTGTTTCGCAATGTTTTGTATTTTTCTCGAAATCAGCTTTTCAACGAAGAAAAGAATCGTCAGAACCAAAATCAATAAAAATGTCAACGCATTTAGAGCTTGATTCATTTGGTAGTATCCTTAGGGGTGCATCAGATTTCCGACTGGTTGTTCTAAACTCAACATCTTCGCGAGTCAAATAACGCTAATGCTCAAACTTCTGCCGTAATCAAATTCTAATATCTACTGCACTTGATAGAAATAACAGTTCGAACAAATGTGATTTAAAAATGAGATATGGTTTGTTCGGAGGACTATATGCATATATTATTTTAGCGTTAGAATATGCCAGTGAACTTCTATATATGTCCAATATATGCGCTCCAAAATGATGAAACGCCTGAATAGTTTCCTTCGTAATTAAGAAATAGCCACGCCAGACTATGAAAATCGCAAGTATTATAAAGATTGAGACCAGAGCTGCACCCAAGTTCTCTGTTTATTTCGGTGATGTTACCTATAACATTTAACTCAGGTTACACCGAGAAACAATTCAAATGCCATAAATGTCTCGTTGGCTATTTTCTAAATGTTTAGAAACAAAGATGATTCGAAGGTAAAATTGTTATGATAATCTATTGATTCACTTAAACAAGAGCAGTAGAATTTACTAGTATATTTACCTAGTCTACGTGGTTGATTTATTTGTTGACTACATAAATATATATCCCTCTCTAATAATGAAGCGCTCACGAATGGAATTTGTTTTGATTTTGATTCCTGTTTTACTCCTTTGACAACATCACGTAATATCATTTGGATATCTTCATTCTCAGTTTTAATATGTTCTAAAAGATGTTTTGTGAATAAACCATTTCTCTGTCCTTTTCCTTCAATGGCTATAGTTCCAGGTGCGCAAGCAAATGCAATCAATGAACCAGCCTTGCTCATAGCTTTGAGGCCTATTGACTTTGAACCACTTGCATCCGGATCACGTGCGTCTACCTCAGGATTGCGTAAGTGATACTTTCTACAACAATCCAATAGGAATATTGTTACATATGGATTGTGATCACTTAAATTGTCAAGAATATGTTGTGCATTGATTGCAGTCGTGTTTAAAGCTGCACCATTCAAAGTTGGAGTGTCCTTTGGTATCAAATAATTTTGATCCTAAAAGTACCACAAATAAAACATTCATAGAAAATTAGGATCACTTTTAAAAATGACACCTTAATACATACTTCCCATTGTATCCCATGTCCAGCAAAATAAAATAGAACAATATCGTCGCGCTCTATTGATTCTTCGAAATCAATAACAACATGTCTCATTTCAGCACGTTTCAGATCTAGTTTCTTTGTAACAGCAAAACCAATACTCTCCAGCGCTTTAGACATATCATTCGCGTCATTTTCTGGATTTTGTAATTCTTCACAATAGTCATATTTACCAATGCCAATTACAAGTGCCAACTTACGTCGTGGTTCCTTTTTAGTCGCCATTAATAAAAAGCAAACTTAATCTGAAAAGAATGCATCTGCTATCATGTAATACATCAAAATGCGAAACCAGACATTGACAGGACGACCTACGCTTCAACCGGCTCTTCAAACAAGCGCTCCATGTACAGCACGGTGAGGTGTCTGCATCAGTCATGATTGATATCGAGATGAGGTTCAACTATGAGACAATTTATCCAGATACTCTATCAAGTGTTTCAACCTAAACTTCGTTAGGTGCAACTAGTTTAGCTAAATCTCAACTTCTAGAGTAATGTGGAGCTAAAAGAAGACTTTTTACTCCAATATTTCTGGGTTCTATGAGTATCAGCAATAGGTAATAGAAATATATTTTCGAGAGGTCATGTAATCAGTGTAAACATTTCATTGGCGAGATATTTGTGGAAAGACAAAAGAATAGCCGACCTAGCAGCTATCCAGCGGTACAGGATACTGCTTAGAGGCAGTTTTATTATTTTGATATAATAACGACAACTAGTACTAGCTGTAGCTTAGAACAGGAGGCCAGCATGCCTCAGAGTTCTTTCGTTCAATCACTTGCGCTTCCCTGTACACACTAACGAACAATATACAAGCCCCGAGAGTTGGTATATGTCAAATCGTAGCCAACACATTAATGGAGGTGTGATTTGAGGTTAACAACCGTTAATATCTTTGAGCAACTTATTAACAGTCGGTAACGACGAAATCTGAACACACTACTTGCCGGTGTGTTCTGGACAGCTTGATGGTTCAGTTATTTTACAAAGACAGTCTTTTGCACTTTAGACCATCACAATTGGTAAACAAGATGATAGAGAATTTATGCGACAAGTTTCAGCCTCCAGTAATAGTTGAGGAGTAGCAGAATCAATCACGAGGCAGCGCAGCATAGTCTGTCGCAATTGTAAGATCTATAATTGAATCAAAATACAATTCTTGTCTAATGAGGTTTTCTTTTAGGTTACTCATATCGTAGAATTGAGAATATTTGCATTTTCTCCAATCTTCAATTCTCTTCCTTTGAAGGTAAGGTGAAATTCTGAGGGATCGAAGAACCCAGAAATTGATTGGCCATTCACTCACGATCACAGTTCATTCATGCACTTGGACGAAAGACTCTACTATCCTGAAAAATTCCTTTGTACTAGCAAGGTGTATGCATTGAACTTCATGCGTAATGTTAAAATCTCATGTTCATCTTT